TAAAGTGAGTTAGCTGATTTTAGTCATTTTAGAAAGCGATTTCAAACAAAGATATCTGATGGGAAAGACAATGCCTACTGAACGTTTGGCAGGGTTCCAGGTGGCGATCCTTCTAGTTAATACTTGTGACCGTTACACGAGGTGGGCGTGCCTGCTGTGTCTCAGGTGAGAAAGGTGAGCTCCCGTCCTTGTGCAGTTGCTATAGAAACTAAGGCAGGCTTCTCTGTTGGAACAGTTTACATTTGTTTCTTGACTGCAAACTGCTGCCTTTGGCCTGCAGGATGACTGGGTCTCATCACCACTGACCTGTCACTCACACTCCGGCTCCATCTCCCTGAGCACTGCCCAGAGCATCTCCCCGATGCACCTGCCCTGAACCTGAGGTTACTCTCTGTGTCACTGACCATGGTTGCCTCTTCAGCATTGTCGCAGGGCATCCCAGCCTCCTCCCCTGGATGTAGTTGGCGTGTTTCTGGCCCCTGGATTCTGGGGACTTCAGTGTTGGTAGATGTTGGGGGACTCTTTCTTACATCATAACATTTGGCAAGTGGTGGGTGGGGTGCTGTTGAAAGATACCTTTGTCCTCCTTCCGAAAGCTTTAAGGAGAAAAGATGAACTCTCACAGAAGAGGCGTTCTGGAGCTGCCTGGGCAGGAGTTGCTGGTGGTGGTTGGGGGACGGGGGCTTGGGCTCTGGTTCTCATCTGGTCTCCTGTATGATGGCTGTGCGAAGAAGCAAAAGCCCCCTGCAGGTCCCTGCCTGTGGTGGGTACCTTTCATTTTTCTTCTGCTGTAGTTTCCTGTGCAGCCTCTTGTTGAGTTTTGCCTTTCTCTGTAGCCCTTTCCTCGATGGCCCTTTGAACGGAGGGGAACTATGAAAATGTTTCAAGGGGCTTGCAGAGCTTGGAGGAGAGTCTGACCTTTGGCCCACTGCTGACTGCGGAGGCCACCGCTGCCCCGCTTGGGGCCTCTCAGAGCACTGCAGAGGGCAAGGGTGTGGTCCTGCCTCAGCCAGAGAGAGTGTCACCAAACCCTTGTCAGTCAGAGACCCCACAATAGGGTCCTTCTGCCCAATGTTGCCCACAGCAGGAGAATCAGACCATATTCAGTAAAGCAGAGCAGAAACTTCATTCTTCGATTGAGGCACAGAGAAGGGCAAGCTTATGCTCTAAAGATACCTTCTCTCCAACTTGAAGATATTAGGAGAGTCTTAAAGGGTTGGTGGCAGGTAGGTGGGTTCAGGGGTGAGGATTTATGAGAAAAGGGTGGAGAGATCTAGGAATTGCAGGGGAGTAGGTATAGCTTCAAAACAGGCTGGGAACATGCCTGGCCATATGTCACGTCTCATTCCTGTTAATTCTCCACGTTGGGCATGATTTTTAGCATGCTAACGAAGGGGAGCTTGTCAAAAGGCCACTCAGGAAGGGGTTGCCAGTGCCATCTTGGATCCTTCCAGTGCAGACCAGTTTCTTAGCTGTGGTCTTGGGCTTTTTATCTGGTTCTTTCCTGCAGGCTTAGTTCCTCCTGGAATTTCCACCCTTCCCTGACTTGTTCAATCAGCTCTTACTAGGGGATATGTTGGAGAATAAGAGAAAACAAGAAAGGCAAGCTCAGATCTTGATGGTACAGCAGCCCACAGCCTCAGCTAGGAGTCCCAGCCACAACCTCAACACCATCACAGCCACTACCATCTGCCCAACAGCAGCAGCAGTGGCTGTACCACCACGCCGTTATTATTTCTGCAGCCATAACCACAACCGCCATCACCACCATGTTCACCAGCAGCCTCACTAGTACCTGCAGCATGGAGCCTAGTTGCCCCAACGCCCAGCCGAATCAGCTGAAACATGAGCAGAAACATGCCCTGTAGCAGCACCAGGAAACACCAAAGAAGAATACAAGCTGTGGTGAACCAAATGGAAATGCTGGAGAAAGAGAAATATCTTTCAAGAAGCTGGGTTCTGATGAAGCTACCAATCCTATTGCCAGGATCCTCAGTGGTGACCAGCAAGTTGTAGACACTAATCTGAAGCAGATGGTAAAAACCAGCACCTTTTGGAAAGCAGGAATTAAAACCAGGAATTTTATTCAGAAAAACAGTATTGACAAAAAGAATGGAAAGACTTATGAAAGTAAATCTGAAGAGAACCCCTCTGTAGATAAGAGTGATCTTGTAGTAATTCCAAATGGTGTTGTAACAAATAATTCTGGCTGTATGACTAATGGTTATATGGGCAAAGGAACAGATAATGGTGGTAGTAGATCTGAGAGTGGATATACCATTCCTAACAAAAGGAAAGCTAGGCACAATAGTGCCAAAGATTGTGAAAAACTTAATTACTAGAGGCCCAGTGCACGAAATTCTTTACAGGTAGGGTCCCTAGGCCTTGCTGGCGATCAGGGCCGATAGGGGCCTTCTGGCTGCCAGCCAGGGCCTTCCTTCATTCTGCGCCACCCCTAGTGGTCAGTGCACGTCATAAGAGTGATCGAACTCCTGGTCAAACCCTTGAGGGGACACTTTGCATATTAGGTTTTCATATATATAGACTAGAGACCTGGTGCACAAAAATTTGTGCACTCGGGGGATCCCTCAGCCCTGCCTGTGCCCTCTTGAAGTCTGGGACCCCTTGGGGGATGTCCACCTGCTGGCTTAGGAATTGGGCCTAAACTGGCAATCAGACATCCCTATGGAAGCCCAGGAGCCCTCAGAGGATGGCCACTTGCCAGTAGGGAGCAGGCCTAAGCTGCAGTCAGACATCCTTAGTGCAGCTGAGGAGGCGGGAGAGGCTCCCGCCACCACTGCTGTGCTGGCAGCCGTCAGCCTGGCGTGTGGCTGAGCAGAGCTCCCTCTGTGGGAGTGTAATGACCACCAGAGGGCAGCTCCTGCATTGAGCGTCTGCCCCCTGGTGGTCAGTGTGTGTCATAGGGACCAGTCATTCCCAGTTGTTCTGCTGTTAGGGTTAATTTGCATATTACCCTTTTATTATGTAGGATTAATATAGGACAAAATAATGCAACAAGAGACCAGTGTCTCAACCTTAAAATAGGGACTTGAAACTCTCAATCCTGACTACGGTGAGCAAGAGGGAAATCGAGTAGATGGTTTGAAGCCCATCTTAAAATATGAAACTGGGCCTGGAGGAACAAGTCGAGGAATACCTGCTATGGATGATATGTTGCAGAAAAACTGATATTAAACCTGGTGTGAGCAGAAAAAGTTTGATGATTGGCTCAGAGGAAAGCATGCTGTTCTGCTGTTGCCTCCAAAGAGGCCTCTTGGGCCCTATGTAAACCTCCCCCAGTTTTTCGGGTGAACAACAGCAGTGCTAAAATAGTGCCTAAAATAAGTTATGCAAGTAAAATTAAGGAAAACATCAACAAAACTGTACAGAACTCTTCTGTGTCACCACCTTCATCTTCATCCTCTTCATCATCTACTAGGAAAACTCAGACCATGTCTTCAAGTTGGTTGTCCCAGGTTCCTGTGTCAGCACTGAAATCTGTTACTTCAGCCAGTTTTTCTAATAGCTCTATTTTAGCAGGGACTGATGAGGTGTGTATTCTCCAGGGCTTCAGCCACAGCTAACTACTGTTGCTAATATGCTAACACCCATCTCTCCGGGGACTGATTCAGTTTCTCAAGACACGAGTCTAATTTCAGCAGCTGTTGAACAAATTAAGTCTGGCCTTTTTACTTCCCCTTCAAATATGCAAATTGTGCTGTTCAGCACAGCACACGTGGGCCTACCCTCTCAGACAGGCCAGCGTAACCCGAGGGATAGCTTCCAGAATCATTGGGGTTTATCACTTATACATGAGCCCTGAGACTGTTACTGGGAAGTCATCGGATCATAAGGGATAGAGGTGAGATTTCAAGGGGAATGTCCTCCACTTTGGTTTCACGGGGTGCTGAAATAATCCCCTCAGGAACTGAGCATCCTGAGTTTCCCAAGGCTTCCGAGCTGGAAAAGTGGACTTGTCCTCAAGTCTGGGTAGCATTCTAAAATCTGGGGCCACTAGTGGGTGTGGAGCCTAATCCTTGGAACCCAGTCATATAGATGAGTATGGGAAACAGAGTTTATTCTTGTATTATCATTTATTGAAATATTTTCCATACCGACAACTGTAAACCTACTTTTGCCTCATCCTGTATGTATGCATGTGTATGTGCATGTGTATGTGTATGTATATACACACTGCTGCTTTTCTCCCATTTCCTGCTGTACTCCAGGAAAGTAGGAAGTCTATGGACTACCATAGACTCTGATTGGGCTGGTTTAGGTCATGTGCTAACCCCTAAACCAATCAGTTTTTTCAGGGAGCTACAGGGTTCTGATTGGCAGGCTGAGCCTCACAATAAGCCTGGGGTTAGAGGGTGGAGTCGTGTGGGAGGGGAGAGGTGTGGGTGAGTGGGCCCCTAGCACAGTCTCCGTCCCGCTGCACCCATTTAGCACTTAGCATGAAGAGAAATGGGGTGCTCTCATTGCCCACCAACACTGCTTCGGGGCTGCCCTACCTTCCCTTCTGACTCACCGTGGGTTTACAGAGTTGGGGGTCTGCTGAGTGAGTTTGGGTTGGGACCTTGCCTGGCAAGAGCCTTCCTTGATGCCATGGACTGTGTTGATGAAAAAGATGGGGCCTTGCATTTTCCCACTGTCTTACTTATGAAATCTCTATGTTGGAGGTGAATGTTTTAAGCAGTCTCAGGGATATGATGATCTAGGCTTTGGATGCTTACAGTCTTTGAGAATCCATGCCCTACATGGACACAAGGAAAGTCATTTTACCTCAGCAGTGATAATGAATCTTTGTCAATACCTGTCTACAAAGTTAAAAACATTATTTTCTAAAAACGACCTCACCATGCAATCAGTATTTGATTGTCTGCTATCCTCTAGGCACTGGCTGTGCATATACAGTACTTGCAGAATTATTCCACTCCACATTTTCTGAGTTTTGGGCCTCCTTCATCTCTGATGGCCTTCTCTTCTCTGTGCCACAGGGAACTGTTGGAGACCACGTGCCGCCTGGCCAACACATTGAAGAGGCATGGAGTTCGTCGAGGGGACCGTGTGGCCATCTACATGCCTGTGTCCCCACAGGTCGTGGCTGCAATGCTTGCCTGTGCCAGGATCGGGGCTGTCCACAATGTCATCTTTGCTGGCTTCAGTGCACAGTCCTTGGCTGGGAGGGTCAATGATGGTAAGTATGTGGCCGGCGGAGGGAGTGAGGGAGGAGCCCAGAGGCCCTGATCCTTGTTCCTTGGACTTAGAGAGAGACATTAATAAAAGTCACACAGTTGACAGACCTACCACTCAATGAGCATTTGTCCTATGAGCTGAGATCCAAGTGTGATGGATTTAACCAGGTGAGGAAGGGAGGGAAGATTCCAGGTGGAGGGAACAGCATAGGTACCAGCTGAGTGGTGAGAGGCGTACAGTGTGCCCGAGGACCTGGAGTAGGCTGGTGTCACTCCAGAGGAGAAGGGATGAGGCTGGGGATGTACAGGTGAGGTCTCACAGGTCAATAGCTGGAAGCCTTCCAATGTGAACTATGATGAGGGACCATCTCTGGAGGCCTAGAGTCAGGTATGGAAGCTTGTGATGTATCTTTCAGGCTTTAGTCTGCAGGTGGGTCAGAATTTCCAGAACAATAGCATCTCCTTCCTTTTTTTAAATGTCAGAGACCAGTGCTTGCATGGTGCCCCACGTCCATGCAGTCTGAACCCTGCTCCAGTGAGATTCTAGAGAGAGTCCTTGAGCTGGCTCCCCAAGGACGGTGCCAAGTTCTGGGGGCCATTGGAGTTCTTACATTTTCATAACCATTTTAGGATCAACGTTTTCATTTCTGCCTTCTCTACGTCACCCAGACTTCACTGCACATGCGCCCATTTCCCCTTTGTTGGACCCCTTCCCTGAGTAACCTGCAGGGAATGGACTGGTGAGCATGTGGACTGGGGAGTGTTAAATTGCAGCTCCCTTGTGAAGGTGACCATGCTTACAATGTCTAGCCTCCATGTTGCTTTCTTTCTATTTTAAATTTTAGCTAGCTAATTACGACAATAACACCCTGACCTCTTGATTTTGGCCTTGAGACTCTTGGGACAGAACCCCGTGGAGCTCACCTGGACTGTAGAACTGTGAGCTAAAAAATTAGTGTTTGTGCCACTAAATTTATAGTAATTGGCTATGGGAACCATAGAAAATTAATACAGATGCTGATACCTGCTCAAAACCCAGGAAGGTAAATTGTATCCTCTCGAAGCGTCAGGCTGATCCTGCCTGAGCCTCAGTTCTGTGCACTCACCCTGTACCTGCTGCCCAGCTATGGGGAACCACAAGGCGATATGTGCTCCCCACGCACCTCCTAAGGACCAAACTTGTGCACACAGGCTGCTGCCCTGGACAACTAACTACCCAAGTAGAGGCTTTGGACAAAGGAGGTCCAGGAGTGAGGCATGGGCTGTGGGAGGCTGGGGAGGAGCTAAAACCACATTACAGGATTGTTTAGCATGTTGGATGGGGCAGGCCCATGTTTTGTCTTGAGGGGAATGAGGGAGCGCTTGTTTGAAAAGGATCCATTTGAAACTTCTGGGTCATCTCCCTTCTTTTCCTGAAGGGAGCTCACCTGGACCAGTCCCAGCTTTGGGGGACGTAGGCCTGGAGAGTCTCTGACAGGTTCTATCCAACAGAATTTGTTTATACAAGGTGATTGATTGTGAAGGTCCGAGGAGGAGCGATGAGTCAGGATCTCTGATCCCTGTATAGACCCTGCTGAGTCATCCAGCTGCAAAGGCCTGTGTAGAGAATTCTCAGGTAGCCCTCATGGCTATGTCATTTCTAGGGCTTTCGGGAGGAGGAAAGAATGTGGATATATTGCTTGAAATTGCTTTTCAGACTGAAAAGCTGATGGAGATTGGTGCCTTAGTCAGGGCTCCCCTGGAAACAGACCCTGAGATGAGAGTTCAAGTTCATTTGGGAAGTGGTCCTGTGAAGTGCTATAGGGCAATGGGAGTGAGGCTTGGAAGAGGAATCAAATAAGAGCAACATTCACAGTGGGTGCCCAGAGATCAGTCCCACAGGGAAACCTTGTAATTTGATGCAACCACATGTGTCAGAATAACCCGTCTACCCAGGGACGAGGGAGTGGGGCATTTATATTCTGGGTTTTGAGAGTCACTCGTTGAGGACTGCTGGAGTCGGGGTTCTGCCTGTGGCTCCCAAAGAAGCCCTTGGTGCAGAGTGACTAAACAGTTAAAGTAATGTGCCCGGGGCCCCACCAGACAGTCCTACACTGGATGGTTGTTCCAGGTTCTTCCTTGGGGAAGTAAAAACCCACTGTGACTTGATTCCTCCAGGTCATCCAAGTTAAAGGTGCAGTGTGAGGTTCATTTCTTTGTGGTCCTGAGGCCTGGTTGTGTTTGTACATGATTCCCTGCTCCCCTCACCCCCCCATCCAGGTTAACAATGGAAGCTCCGATCAGTCTGGCATTGCCGCTGACCTGGCTGAGTCATTGAAGGGCACTTGTGATCCTGGAGGGCCTTCCCTGAAGGGGAGGGCAGGGGCCAGCAACTCCTGGCATTCACCTGGGGTGTGGTCTCTGAGATAATGCACAGGACATATTGGGGCTCGCTCTCTGGCTGCCCAGCTTTCTTGGTCTCTGTTCCTGGTGGCTGTGGCTGGGGGTGATGTGACGGCCTCTCGTCTAGGAAAGCTGCCGGGCAGGTGGAAGGACGGGTGGAAGGCTGGGAGAGTTCAGCTTCAAAGTTACTTATCTCCACTGACTTCCTGCTCCTCCTCAGAGCTGGGAAAAGGCCCGGAGCTTCTATATTCTGCACAAAGATTGCAGAGCAGGCGCACCCTTCACTGTGTTGCTGACTCATTTACTCAATATTGGACTTTATTACCCTCCTGTGCCTGGAATGTGTGTCTGCCGGTCTGGGCTGTGAGGGTCAAAAGTGGAGAGGAAACTGATCAGAAATGTCTGTTGTCTCTGTCAGCAAAGTGCAAGGTGGTTATCACCGTCAACCAAGGACTGAGGGGAGGACGCGTGTTGGAGCTGAAGAAGATAGTGGATGAAGCCATGAAGCACTGCCCAACGGTCCAGCATGTCCTGGTGGCTCACAGGACGGAAAACAAGGTCCCCATGGGGAAGCTGGATGTCCCCCTGGAGGAGGTGGGTCCGCCTCGCTTTGTACAATTCGATGAGGAGAGGTTGTTGTTGGGTTATCTGGGTCTGAGTCTTGTCAGATTGTAGTTTTGAATCTGCGTCCCCCTGAGATGTTCCGGGCAGTATTGGATGGGCTTACATCTGGTTGGGAAGATGGAACCCCAACACGACAAACAGTGCAACAGTTGATGTAACAGAAATGATTGGCTTCATCCTTTTATTTTGCGTCTTCTCTGTATCTGGGATGGAACTAGGTTAGGGAAGATGAGCTCAGATCCCGTCCGTGGAGTCTCACAGCAGCGGGAGAGGTGTTCCCAGGGGCGCTGGATGGCGGGAGAGGCTAACTGCCCTGCCCTGGGTGGGGCTGTTTTTGTCTCCCCCTTACAGGCCATGGCCAAGGAGGACCCTGTGTGTGCCCCAGAGAGCATGGGCAGCGAGGACATGCTCTTCCTGCTATACACCTCCGGGAGCACCGGGAAGCCCAAGGGGCTCGTGCACACCCAGGCGGGCTACCTGCTGTTTGCCGCCATGACGCACAAGGTTCGGCCTTGGTGGTGGGCAGAGCATGGGTGGTGCTCGCCTCCCTGGTGGGATAGGGCAGGGGGCCAGGTGGGGCTGGGTGTAGGGCTCGAACTCCTCCTGCTGTAAAGCAGTGCCCGGGGGTGTGAGGTGCTCATGAGTTTCTGCAGTGAGTGTGCTTGTCCTGAGCAGGGCTGCTGCGAGCCGCGTCACTGGCCTGGTGGAGTGGGTTGGAAGGGGGGCCATGCTCTTGTTTTTGCTGAAAGAGTCCAGGCCCCAAACCTGGACTCACTGCTGGTTTTAGCCCTTTGCACCTGTGCCTGTGTCGCCCAGTGGCTCGAACGCTTGCAGGAATCGGGCCCTCGCCAGCTCTGATGTGCTCGCTGGTGGGGCCACATTCTGATGCTCAGGCCCAAGACGCTTTGGCCTGCCTGGGCCCCTTCCTCTATTAAATAAATGTCCAATATATAATATATACTATTATATTGTAAAACTTATTTTAAACTTAAAAGATCATATTTTCCTCCTGATTTTAAGAGAAAATAAAACATTTCCACGAGCCCCTAAAACTATCATGACCTCTAGACCCTGCCCATTGGGACCATATTTTAAAAGTAAAAAATTTACTTTGATAAAGAAACTTAAATTTAGGACAGTATGTGGAAATTATAATAGTACAGTAAGCCATCGTGAGGGATTATAAAACAAACTCTGTGACACGTTTTGTTACTCCAGTCAATCAGTTTAGAAACCAGTACTCGTGTTAATGTTGGTGGAGGATTGCAGTTTCACATGGCACCCTTGGTTGCCTTGGGAAGTGGCTGACATTTCCAGGTGGAATTAGGTTTCGACATACCATCTGTGGGCCAGGCTCTCCCTATTGCAGAACCAAAACTCGGCTCCAGCAGGTGCCAGCAGCAAAGGGAAGTGTCTGGCCAGGTGACTAGAGAGCCCAGGCCCATCCAGTCAGGGCTTGGACACTGTCCTGGGTCGTGGTATCTTCCCTGCCTCAGCCCTCTTCTAGGCCCATGAGGTTCCCAAACAGGCTATCAACTTGGCTTCCCCACGGGCCAGAGGGAGCCTCCATGATCCCAGTCATTGTGGTCAGGGTGGGGGTGGGGATGGGGGTGAAATATGCTGATTGGCCAGGCGGGGTCATGTGGGAGGTGAACTTACTGGATGAGAGTGGATGAGGAGCAGGTGCTGGGCCGCATGCACACGGCCTCCACGTGGCAATGTCCAGGTCCCACTGATGGCCCCTCACACCAACCATAAGGATATGAAAGTGAGGCGGAAAGACAGAACCAGGCTGAGCATACAGTGTGTTACACTTAATACAAACACTTATTCAAATAGCGGCCTCTGGCTGCGGGTGACCGTGAGCATGTCACAGAGCCTTTCTAGACCTTCATGTGCTCATCTGAAAAACCCCACCCTTTCTCAGTTCTTGGTAGGGAAGTTAGATCATGTAAGCAAAAATACTTTGGAAAATATAAATAAACACTGAGACAAAGTACCAAGAAAGTCACAGAATGAATCAAGTTGTTTCCATCAATTTATAAAAAAAATTAATATTAGGGAAGCTAAGGTGAGAGATCCATCATTTTATTTTATTTTATTTTATGCATTTTTAAGGTGTTTTGCATTTCCAGGAAACTTAAATTTAGTATAACAATGTAGAAAGATGCCCTTATACATTCCACTCGATAAAGTGTTCCCTGTGAGCACACATAAGCATGGGGCATCTTCAGCCCCTACAAGGCCCTGCCGCGCCTCTCACATGCAGTCCCCCGGCAAGACCAGCGCTAGTGTGAACTCTGCATGCAGATTGGCTTTGTCAAGCTGGGGCTTGCACCGTGTGCACTCTGAGGGCTGGGTTCTTTCACTGTTCTCTCCCAGAGTCAGCGTGTTGTTGCTTGTACCAGTAACTCTGTCTTTTCACGTACCCCTCTGCTCTCTGCGGCCAATGGAGCAGCTACATTGTAGTTATAGAACACGTGGGTCACGGGCTCTTACAGCCTCTCCTGTTTCTGCAGCATGTGTTTGACCACCGGCCGGGAGACATCTTCGGCTGCGTGGCCGACATTGGCTGGATCACCGGGCACAGCTACGTGTTATATGGGCCCCTCTGCAATGGAGCGACCAGTGTCCTTTTTGAGAGCACTCCAGTTTACCCTGACCCTGGTGAGGACTGGGAACCCAAATCGGGTCCCTGGGAGGGAGCACCCTGGGAGACACAGGCGTTGGCGGCCTGTCCGCCGTATTCCAGGGGAAGCACCAGCCACCACTTTAGAGACCATTTAAGTGCAACTGAACACGAATTCTACATTAAGGCTACTCGCTGATTTTTAAATCCACAGAAACGTATTTTTAACTGATTCCTCACTATGTTGAATGGGGTACACTATGGGGGTGGAGCTGTCCAGAGCCAGGTGGGGGCTTTTTACAAATGGGCCAGCCAGCGGGTGTCGGGATGTTGGGGGTTGACTGCCACAGGGAGCCCCTTCCTTGAGGTCTCCCTTCCCATCCCGGTGATGGGTGTTGAATGCAGGCTTGCATGTATCCAGTACCCAGTATTGCGGACTGATCTCTAAATTGGGTGAAAATAGATACTGTCTGGTGGGCTCTCTGACGGACTAAATTGGGGCTCTTTTGTAGGTCGGTATTGGGAAGTGGTGCAGAGGTTGAAGATCAATCAGTTCTATGGAGCCCCAACGGCTTTCCGGCTGTTGATAAAATATGGCGACACCTGGGTGAAGAAGTATGACCGCTCGTCCCTGCGGACTCTGGGGTCAGGTGAGCACTGCTTTGTCGCTGGAGAGGGTGTGGGTGTTGTCTGTCAGAGCCACCGCAGGCTTCTAGATGGTTTTAATCACAAAAGCTACGTGTCTGTGTCTGTGGTGAATTCAAACAATGTCAGACCCCATCGAGTAGGAGGCAGAGGCCTGTCAGCCCCTCCCCAGAGCCCACAGCTGTTAGCAGTCTGGGCACAGCACTCCAGACACTTGCTGCACCCGTCCTTATTATGGGCTTTATTATTATTATCATTGTACCATTGAGATCTGTTTCAGTGCTGAAATACTTTTTAAAAAGTATATTTTTATTGATTTTTAGAGCGAGAGGAAGGGAGAGAGAGATAGAAACATCAATGAGAGCGAAACATTGGTTGGCTGCCTCATGCACACCCCCTACCACGAATTGAGCCTGCAACCTGGGAATGTGCCCTGACCGGGAATTGAACCAGTGACCTCTTGGAGTATGGGTCGATGCTCAACCACTGAGCTACACCAGTGGGCAGCATCCTTATTATGAATCCTTACCAACTCTTTAAGGTAAGGGCTGAGCCCTTTCTTCAGTGGCTGCATGGGATTGCCCTGTGGAAGTCAACTGCTGGTCACTGAGCATTCCCATGATGCTGGGCACTGGTTATTCCCAAGCCCTGTACTACATGTCATTCCATGCTGTGCACTGCTCTCACTCTAGATATTTCCATGCAAGTGGTGGCAGAGTACAGGTTATCTCCATTTTTAGTTTTAACTGAGGTTGCCAAGGCACATGAAAGCTTTGGGAAAAGGATATGGGGTTAACTCAGAGGGTAGCTCGGAGGCCCTGCCTGTTCTCTCTGCTTTTCCCTGGTGTCCCTACGCATGCTGCCAGGTGTGGTCAGGAAGGAAAATAAGGTGGGAGGCCCTCCATGCTCTGTGGTGAATAGACAGATCTGCTTGGTGGTTTTTCATGGGGTGTGTCTTTCTGCCACTTTTGTCCATGGAAAAGGTAGCTCAGTGATGGTGTGCACACGTTACTTGTCAGTGATGTAGGTGAGCGGCACTGGCACAGGACGTAGGGCCCTGGTTCACTCTGCCCCCCTTGCCTACAGTGTCCTGTTGCCCCCTCTAAGCTCAGGATGCCCACCCTCCCTCAAGGTCCCTCTCTGTGGTGTTCCTGGGGTTTCCTTGGCTGCTGTGGAACTTGGGCGGTTGGCTCTTAGGCAAACTGTATGTTTCATACCTGGGCAAGGCCAACTTGGTGCTGTCTCCTGCTGTGGTCATAGCTCAAGCCCCTTCTAGGCTGGATTAGCCTTCACAGCCCTCAGCCTTCTGTGTTTTGACTTCTTTTTTTTTTTTAAATATATTTTATTGATATTTTACAGAGAGAAAGGGAGAGAGATAGAGAGTTAGAAACATCGATGAGAGAGAAACATCGACCAGCTGCCTCCTGCACATCCCCCACTGGGGATGTGGCCGCAACCCAGGTACATGCCCTTGACCGGAATCGAACCTGGGACCTTTCAGTCCGCAGGCCGACGCTCTATCCACTGAGCTAAACCGGTTTCGGCTTGACTTCTTTTAATCTTCTCAGTCAGTCAGCAGAATCTAGCTCACTCAAGACTTACATTTCTTAAGAGAATTTTTTAACTTTAAATTTTATAAGTAACACAGGAATAATCTACACTAATAAAAGAGAAACATGCAAATTAACCATCACTCTGCCACTCCGCTATACCCACCAGCCAATCAGGAGCGAGTATGCAAATTAACCCAACTAAGATGGTGGCAGCCACAGAGCTGGTGCGAGCAGGAGGCTGGGGTTGCCCCTGGTGATGGAGGAAGCCAAGCTTCCCACCTGCCTTGGCTGGCCCTGGGCTCCACTCAAGGAGGCGCTGAAAAAAAAAGAAAAAAGGAGAGGCTGGGAGCTTGGGTAGCTGTGGGGTGTGGCCAGTCTGAAAATGGCCATCAGCCCCTATCTCAGGCTGGCTAGGCACCCCAGCAGGAACCACCCCCTACCCTGAGGGGTGTGGCCAGCCTGAAAACGGCCCTCATCCCCTCACCCAGGTTGGCCAGGCACCCAAGCCAGCAGGGGGGCAGTTGGGGGTGAGCAAGCCAGTGGGGAGGGAAGGTGGAGGCAAGGAGGCCAGCAGGGGAGGGCAGTTGGGGGTGAGCACACTGGCATGGGAGGCAGTTGAGGGTGATCAAGCTGGTGGGGGGTGGCATTTGGGAGCGAGCATGCCAGCAGACACAGTGGTTAGGGGCAGAGTGGAGAGGGTGCAGGCCGGGCTGAAGGACCACCTCCCACCCCCCCACACGAATTTTGTGCACTGGGCCACTAGTCTTATTATAAGAAGCAAACTCAGTACTTTGCCATGAAAGCTGATGTCCTCTGTGAGTGCTGCCCCAGGGGACCCTGTTGCTTGCATACCTTCTAACATGTTCTGTGCAAAGACACAGCTTGGCTCTGAGATGATTTCTTCATCATGAGTATCATCACACTGTCCTGTTATAATGTGATGTTTATTTTAACTCCACAATAGGAGAGTTTTCCACATGGCTCTGAAAACTTGCTCACACCCTCCTGTGGGAATTGCCATGGTCCTTGTAGTCACGTCCCCATGGTTGGCTACTGGGGCTATTGGCAGTTTCCCAGTACACCCAGTGCTGCAGTGGCATCTTCCTGTCTCCTTGTGGGCATACGTGAGGGGCAATACACACGAAACCCAGCCCCCTGGGTGACCGGCATGGAAGACCCCAGTCAGGACAGGCCTTGGTTAGCTGCTGCTTCATGGGTGGTCCCAAGGAAGAGACAACCAGGATGAGAGGATTTCAGTATTTTAGCAAAAGCATGTCAGAACCTGCAAGTTCTGGCTGAATGCTAGTCTGGTGTGGGTGTGTCATTAGTGTAGTGTCTTAGTGGTAGGATTTCAGCATATATTTGGGAGACATACACATTCGGACCCCAGCTGGTAGACACTGATAATCAGCAATAGAGTCTTGGGGCATAAGCACTTTCCCCCTTTCTATTGAGGTATAAAATATAGTGAAATACACAATGTCAGGTGTTCAGCTTCAAACTATTTACATATATGTCTAAATATGTTATCACATGCAGATCAATCCATAGAAATTTCCAGTCCCCAGAAGGCCCTCTTTATACCCCCTCCCAGTCAGGAGCCCTCAAATATGACCACTACTTTGCTGTTCTCAATGTGGATTGATTTGTTTGTTCTTGAACTTCATATACATGGGCTTGTGCTGCATGCATTACTCTTGTGCCTGCTGTGGTTGCTTGGGGTTGTGACTCTGGGGTTCATCCCTCCTAGTGTGGGGGTAGTGGTGGATTACTCAGTTCCATGCTGTATGGTATGATATTTCACTGCACGAACCCATCACATTTTTTTTCTCCATTCCGCTCTTGATGGATAGTGTTTAGTTTTTGGCCACCGTGAGCATTCTTGTTGGTGTCCATTTTTGGTGAACGTAGGCACTCATTTTTGTGGACTGTGTGTCAGGAGTGACATTTCTAAGTAATAGAATAGACCTATAGTAACTTTAATGTAATCTGCCCCAGTTGACCAAAGTAGGTGTATAGGATGTATACACTTTTAAATATTAAGGGAAGTACCCAAATTGTTCCCCAAAATTGCTGCCTCAAATTACACTCCTACTGTGCATGAGGTATTCTTTCCCCTACATTCTTGTTATTTTTTTAAAAACATTTTGACCCTCCAATGGTAAAAACACCTCATTTAACTTTTATTTCTTTGATGGCCATAATGTGACAGATTTCAGTGCTTTTTTAAACCTTCTTTTTATGCCCTTGAGGAAAATTACAGAGCTGTTTTCCCCTGAACAATCTATTCCTTTTGGGTTTGGGGTCTATTGCGGCGTTAATGTCTTTTTTCTTTTGTGTGTGATTTCAGTGGGAGAACCAATCAACCGTGAGGCCTGGGATTGGCTCCACGAAGTGGTGGGGGACAGCAAATGCACGCTGGTGGACACCTGGTGGCAGACAGGTGAGAGCGTCTCCCAGGAGGAGCTCAGGGCCCCTGGGAACCGTGCAGGGCGCGCCACGTGGGCCTTTCCTGCAGTAGCTGTGCTCTCGTGTTACTGCACTGAGAGCACGCGGCTGAGCACCGAGTGGGGGGGCTCAGGCGTGAGGCGTGTGAATGTGGGATCAACACCACGAACGCCTCAGCCCTCCACATAGGTGGTTGTGGAAAACCTGGTGGCTGAAGCTCAGAGGGGGAGCCTGGCTTTGCCACTGTAAGACTTGGGCTGGGTAATGACTTCTCTGAGACTCAGTTTCCTCATTTGTAAAATGGGGTGCTCCCTCCAGGCTCTGAATGAGGATGACATGAAAGGAGACCATTCACTCATGTTGCCCCAGGCCTGACATGCAGTAGGCACTCAGCTAAACGTTCACTCTCCTCATGAGGGCCCCTTTCTGCATGTGAGCGATGAGCATGAGCCCTGCTGTTTAAGGGACTAAGTCTAAACCTAAATTTTAGTGGGAAAAGGAGTTTTCTGCGGCATTTGGTTTAGGTTTGCCCCCTGAGTATCTGACTTACTAGGATGTTTGGGGCAGGCGACCACCACTGATGTAGCTGAGGGCTCGTCTTTCCAGAGTGGCTTAGTTCTCATCCATTCAGGAGGGCACAGGGCTAAGGTTACAGCTGAGTCCCGTGAGGTATTGCCATGCAGTCTGACAGAAGGAAGAGATATAATGCGACACAGAATTTGTGGGCTTCTGGTTTTGTTGTTTGGGGCACTGGTCCAGAAGCGATTCTTCATCTTCCTGTGCAAGTAGGTGGGCTCCACCTCTCCCACTGACACGAGGGCGGGACCAGCGGGGCCGTGGAGGAGAGGCAGCACCCACCAGGCTATGGAGCCATAGCACCTGGGCCGGAGCCCCCTGCCTGGGCCCACTCCCAACCCACAGTGGAGGGGACCAGGATCCAAGTCTAGTTTCGTCTCAGAGAAAAGTCCTTGTGACAGTAGGGGCTGTTTCCTTGCTCCAAATCGGCAGTTCAACCCACTCTGTCCCAGCCAGTCTGTCCCAGATTCTCGGTGGGTTGGCCTGGATAAATGTGGCACTAGCCCCTTGGCCCATCGGCATTTCTTCCCTGTCATCCCCATAGAGACGGGCGGCATCTGCATCGCACCACGGCCCTCGGAAGAAGGGGCGGAAATCCTCCCTGCCATGGCGATGAGGCCCTTCTTTGGCATTATGCCCGTTCTCATGGATGACAAGGTGTGTAAGGGCCTCCCGTCCTCCACGCACACCCCACTGAGCTCCCTGGTGTTTCTTCCTGCCTTCCTGGCCTCCGTTGCCCACTCGCCCACGTCGCACGTGCCCAGGGCCTAGCAGGTAGTGGGAGGAGCCTGTGTCCTCAGCAGTGTGCATTGCAGGTTTCTCGTAGACATGGTGGATGCAGTCACCATGAGGGGCAGAAGCCCTCTCCAGGAGGGCTCCTCGCAGAGCAAGAGGCTCTGGACAGCTCCTTTGGGGCACACTTGCTATTTTTCTGCCTCAAGCCAAGCAGCTAGGGGGATGATACTGATTTCAGTTCTTTGCTTCTCAAGCATAATCTGTCCTTATTTTCCAATGCATGTCTCCCTGGTCTGCAGGGGAACGTTTTGGAGGGCAACAATGTCTCCGGGGCTCTGTGCCTCTCACAAGCCTGGCCGGGCCTGGCCAGGACCATCTACGGAAACCACCAGAGGTTCCTAGAGACCTATTTCAAGATTTACCCAGGTGAGCGGGATGCCTTTCCACACCCTGCTGGAGCCCCTATTCTCAGAACATGTTCCTAAGGGGGCAGTGCCTGTGAGCGTCCCCCATGCAGGTTCAGAGCAGGTGCTTTGAGGCATGAACTTAAGTCCTGCTCCCTCCCCCTCTGCCTCCCTGACTTTACGTCTAAAACGGGAAAAGACTCACCTTGGGAATGTGCTGGGGTTGAGGGGGAGAGCGTGCAGACCCCTGAGCGCCTGGCCCATGGTGTGGACGCCTCAGGCTGTCAGGGAAGCTGTCAGGATGGCTGAACGTTTTCTTCCGGTTTGTTTTCCCCCGGGTGGCTTTTGTGTCGTTGGTTGGAAGTTTGCATATATAGTATAGCTATTGGAACCCGTGATCTTTAGTCTCGAGTCTAAACGAGACTCACTTTGGGGGAAAGTTGAGTGCGCTCCTCGAATGTCTTCCGCTCCCCAGACATTTGCAGCCTTGATTGCATTCGGTTGTGTCAGAGCCATCTGCCCTTGCCCTAGCAACAGCCACACGGCAAAGCTGGACAGTGTCTCCTGCAGGGAGGGCCAGCAGGCAGGAGGCCGGCAGGGTGCAGGGCTTCCGAGCTTCCTTCGGTAGAGCAGGGCTGGGACACAGCCCCCTTGTGTCCGCGAAGGAAGGATGGGAGCTCCGCTGGGTCCTGGTTGGGAGGTGCTGGCTCTGAATTCCCTCCTCGGGTGCAGGCTACTACTTCACTGGAGACGGAGCTCTCCGAACCGAGGGAGGCCATTACCAGATCACGGGGCGGATGGACGACGTCATCAACATCAGTGGCCACAGGCTGGGCACTGCGGAGGTCGAGGATGCGATGGTGAGCACAGGCCATGTTTGCCCGGCTGGGGCTGTCATTTGCGGTGTCAGGTGTTCACCCTCCCACATATTTTGCCTTTTTGCTTCTGTTCTGTGCAGGCGAGCCACCCTGAAGTGCCTGAGACCGCTGTCATTGGCTACCCCCACGACATCAAAGGAGAAGGTGAGACGCAGAAGGAACTCTGGTCTCGCTCCCATCACAGCCCCTCTCTAGAGACAACAGCCTCTGGAGACAACAGCCTCTGGTGTTTATGGGTGAAGCTGTTGGTTTTCTTCTCTTTCAAGTGCAGATTTGGGGTGAGGAGGCTGAGCAGTATGCCTGTTAGACTAAGGCCAGGTTTCTGAGATGCCCTGGCTCTGCTGTCCTTTAAGGACACGCATCCGCAAGCAGCCCTGAGCTCTTTGGCTCCAGATGAGCTGGGGAGTTCGCTGCTCTGTGCGTGGTGACTGACAGCGCCATCACAGAGGACTTAGGGTGACACGCCCTGCCTTGCTCACCGCATCTCCTTGCACAGGCTGGTGCACAGACCCAGTGCCAGCTCTACAGCTACACTGGCCGACCAGGCTGTGCCTGGCGGCCTCCTCCGGTGGCCTCCTCCGCTGCTCCGGGACTCCTTTTAGAGGAATTTGACCTGAGGTTCCCACTGCACAGCGACACGCAGAGGGCAATGCAGAACAAGCGATCAGAAACGTCTTCTTTTTGTTGTTGTGAATCCTCATCTGGGGATATTTTTCTATTGATTTTCAGAGAGAACGGAAGGGAGGGGGAGAGACAGAGAGAGAAATATCCATGTGAGAGAGACAATGATTGGTTGCCTCCCACATGTGGCCTGATCGAGCCTGCAACCGAAGTATGTGCCCTTGACCGGGAATCGAACCCATGACCCTGCAATCCACAGCCTGATGCTCTCTCTATTCACTGAGCCAAAACGGCGAGGGCCAGAATTGTCTTCTGTACCGTGGACGTACTTTGTCCCAAAGTCTGCTGGTTTCTAAGCAGGTGGGAAGGTGCAGGGTCACCTGAGTGTTGTGGCCACACGGGCCCTGCGTGACCTGGAGATCCACTGACCCTGTGCTGCACTGCTGGGTGGACTGGCCTCAGCTGCCTGCTGAGTGGTCCGGCCTGGGCGCTCTTCCTCCTGCCGTCAGAGGCAGTCGGCGTTGTGTGTCCCAGAGGTCACAGGTCTTCCTTCCATGTGTGTCACTGCTCCGGTATTTGCTCAGCACTTGCTCTAAGTTGGCCCTGTGTAAAAATTGATATTTATGTCAGTGCTCTAAAAAATCATGTTCGGTGGCCATGAGAAGGCTGTGCCCATGAGGCCGCCTTTGTCAACAGGAGACGGGGCTGAGGGGAGCTCTTAGGGACCAGGGCGGGTGGAGATGGGAGCAGGTCTTCATGTGTGACTCTCAAGGCCTTGGGCGCTTCACGCTCCCGTAAGCAGCTCTCAGCACTGCTCCCTGGCATCCTAAGCGGCTGATATTGCCAAGGCTTTTCATGTCCGCCAGGCTGGTGGGGGAGAATTGTACATAGTGAGTATGATGAATGTATTTTCCCGATTTCTTACAAAATGGAGCGTCTGTCCATTTGTAGTACATAACCCATCAATTGCTCTTGCTAAACTCTAAAGCCATCTGCGAAAGCTTTTGTGCATTTATTTGTGCCCATGCTTTCTGTCTGTGCTCCAGCTGTCCACTGTGCCATGCCTCTGCCATCAGCCTGGCTCACTAGTCCCTGAGGCCAGCCTTGCACGCCTCCTCCGGGCTCGCAGCCGACTTCTTCTCCCACGTCCAGGCTTTCCTGACCCATCCCTGCTCGGAATTCACCAATCCAGGCTCATTTTATTGCCATCTCATTACAGATACAAGTGACTGGCAGGGAAGGGTGCCAGTTAGCGACAAGGGGGCACATGGCAGCATGTCCAGTGTGATCCCACCAGGGTCTAAAAGATGGCAGTGTAGACCCAGGAGTTAGCTTTAAAATTTGTGTCTGGGGACAGCAGCCAGAGCCCCTGAGAACCTTCTCCTTGTGCGTTTTGTACAGGGGCTGTCACCATTTAATCCTGACGCAGCCACGAGGCAGGTACTGCTAGCTCCCCAGGTCCCAGGTAGAAACCTGTGCCATAGCATGGCTAAGTGCCTTCCTCACAGGTAGCAAGTGGCAGAGCCAGAATATGGAGCAAGGACGGTCTCTCCTACTCATAATTCTGCTCTGCCTTTAAGGAGTGGAGTGAAGGGAGAGAGCCAGGAGGGAAGGTGTCATTTTATTTTATATACTTCTATTGTGCTTTAATTTTGGTAATCAGTGTGTGTTGCTTTGGTAGGTTTAAAATTTTAATTCAATCCACAATAAACATCTCTCAGTGGGCCTACCCAGACAGCTCAGGTATTAGCTTGGTGCCTTTCCTCTGAGCTCCAGTGGTTTGGGCCTAGACTGTTTGGAATTTCAAATACCGAAAGGAGAGAAGAGTGCAGCTCTTCCCCTTAGAGATCTCACAACCTAGTGAGGTGGGCATGGGAGACCAACAGCTGTTCACACGTAGCAAGTGCCACAGCTGCATTCATGGACAGAGCCAGGAAAGGCTTCACAGAGTGCAAGGTAGCTGAACTGGGTCTTGAGGGATGAATAGGAGTTTGCCAGGTGGAAATGGGACGAGGCTTTCAGGGAAAGGCTGTACTAAGTATCTACAACTTGTAGCTTATTCAGGAAAGTCATTCATTGATGCATTTGACAAACATTTGTTGAGCACTTACTATATTCCAGGCACAGTTGTAGATACTGAGACACCACAAAAAGTGAAAGAGACAGAAGATCCTGCTCCCTAAAGCTGTCATGCTGTAGTGGTTAGAGATTAGAGGGGAGAGAAAGACATAAACAATAAACATGATCAGTGAGGAAACTAGAGTATGTTAGGTGATTTGTGCCAGAAGGAGAATTCATTAGGATGAGGTGGAACTGGTGTAGGAATAAAATACAAATAAACAATAAGGAAGGCTGCACATACATATATATAAACTTTGTGTATGAGAGAGGAGGACATTGCCGGTCAGTGAGGAGAAGGACAGACTGTCCAAAACGGTGTTGGGACAAGTGACTATTCAAATGGACAAAAAATGGAATTAGATCCTGATGTCATACCATATACAAGATTATGGTATTTATATTTATCCCAGATAAATTAAAAAGGAATGCATGTATTTACAGTAGCCGTGGGAGCTATGGTAAAGCTTTCCTGGAACGTGGTAGGATATTGACAAAGTGTCTGTGCTAAGGTATTGGATGGCCGTTGCTGCCCAGCAGACTCTGCCATGACGGAGCTGTCCATCATGGGGCTCATGTAACCAAGGAACTGCATATTTTTACTTATATTTTTATTTAGATATCCACCATGGCTAGTGCTTACTATGTTGGACAGTACCCACAAATTTGGTGCCATGTGCAGGACTACCTCACGGGAGCTGATAGCAAACTTCCTAGGAGCCCAGGTGATAGGCTGTTTCACAGGTGCAAGGACAGTGAGAGAGGATAAGTCATGTGTTCAAGGTCGCACACACAGCCAGTCAACACCAGAGCCATGGTGCCAAGCTCTCACCACCCAGGCCCACCCACCTGCGACATTCAGAGGAACTGACAGAATCACTTTCTTTTTGAACGAAGACGACAATGCATCTTTAGGGATGCAGCTAAAGAAACCAGCTGCTACAAGATCATCAACATAGGATTTGAAATCCTTTGAACTTATGGTGATTTGTGTACAACACTCTGGCTAACACAGTGGTTCTCAATCTTCCTAATGCCGCGACCCTTTAATACAGTTCCTCATGTTGCGGTGACCCCCAACCATAAAATTATTTTCCTTGCTACTTCATAACTGCAATTTTGTTACTGTTATGAATCGTAATGTAAATATCTGATATGCAGGATGTATTTTCATTGTTACAAATTGAACATAATTCAAGCATAGTGATTAATCACAAAAACAATATGTAATTATATACGTGTTTTCCGATGGTCTTAGGCGACTCCTGTGAAAGGGTCGTTCGACCACCAAAGGGGTCGCGACCCACAGGTTGGCGACCCACAGGTTGAGAACCGCTGGGCTAACACATCCTAAAATTTTGCTCTCCTTCCAGCTGCATTTGCCTTCATTGTATTGAAAGATAGCGTAAGTGATACGGATGCAGTGGTGAATGAGCTCAGGTCCACAGTGGCCACCAAGATTGCCAAGTATGCTGTGCCCGATGAGATTCTGGTGAGTGGACTTATGGCCTCAGATCGGACTGCACTGCTCATCTACACCTTCTTCTCCTCTTCACACAACTAGCATCACAACAAAACTGACACCAGCTGTTTGGTTTCCTGGGTGGTAGGTGAGGATGGCAGATGGCTGTATTGTCAGAGAGGGGGCGGGGGCGGGCAGGGAGATGTAGCGGCATCAGTTTGAACAGCTTGCCTCTTCAGGGGTAGTGCTGAGCAGGACTAGATGCTCTCTTATTTTAGCCTTTGGGGGCTGGTTACAAGGAGCAGAAGAAAATTAGGAAGAAATGGAGAAACATGTGGAAAGTACCAAGGTTTTTCAGCCCCTGGGTGGTTTCTTTCTTTTTTTAAAAAAAATATTTTATTGATTTTTTATAGAGAGCAAGGGAGAGGGATAGAGAGTTAGAAACATCGATCAGCTGCCTCCTGCACACTCCCCACTGGGGATGTGCCCGCAACCAAGGTATCTACCCTTGACCGGACACGAACCTGGGACCTTTCAGTCCACAGGCTGACGCTCTATCCCCTGAGCCAAACCGGTTAGGGCCCTGGGGGGGTTCTTTCTTTTTTTAAAAAAAATATTTTATTGATTTTTTATAGAGAGCAAGGGAGAGGGATAGAGAGTTAGAAACATCGATCAGCTGCCTCCTGCCCACTCCCCACTGGGGATGTGCCCGCAACCAAGGTATCTACCCTTGACCGGACACGAACCTGGGACCTTTCAGTCCACAGGCTGACGCTCTATCCCCTGAGCCAAACCGGTTAGGGCCCTGGGGGGGTTCTTTCTTTTTTTAAAAAAAATATTTTATTGATTTTTTATAGAGAGCAAGGGAGAGGGATAGAGAGTTAGAAACATCGATCAGCTGCCTCCTGCACACTCCCCACTGGGGATGTGCCCGCAACCAAGGTATATACCCTTGACCGGACACGAACCTGGGACCTTTCAGTCCACAGGCTGACGCTCTATCCACTGAGCCAAACCGGTTAGGGCCCTGGGTGGTTTCTGAACACCTTTCCCAGTGCCAGCAAAGCAGATGCCGCAGAGTCTATCTGAGGGAGCCTGTGTTGGAGTGGTTTAGCGGAAGAATTGGGCCACCCTCTCAGCCCCGTTAGTGTCTCATTCCTTCCCGTGTTACATTTCCCCCATGGCGTTCCGTCGCCTGGAAGCGGCCCTCTGAAGCCCCACTTGGTGTGGCACAAGATCAAGCTGTGGGCCTGGGGACCAGAGTTTCAGGGAGACCCGAACTCTCCTTGCAGGAACTGAACTCTTTAAAAAAAAATGGGTCATTATTAAAGAGCCCAAATACAGCTCCTAAGGTACTGCCATTGACCGTGAATGGGTGGCGGCTTTTAGAAAATGTGAAATGCTAAATTTCTACACCCTAGCAAGACAGTGTTGTTTCTCTTAAGTAGCTCTCACCTCCTACATAAGACAAAACCAGCCCAGACCCGGGCCAGGGGGTTGAGATAAGCTCCAGCAGGACTTGGAGTTGAGTCTGCCCTTTGGGTTGATACAACTTCAGGTCCAGATTGTAGGTGGATGAAACCAGAGACTGTGGGCCTCACGATCCCCTGGGAAGAGCCCTTCTTACCTCAGTGCAGTTGGACGCTGGCTGGGTATGCGGGCAACACCTGAGACTTTAATATTGCACCCCTTCCTTGCCAGATAGTGAAACGTCTTCCAAAAACTCGGTCTGGAAAAGTCATGCGGAGGCTCCTGAGGAAGATCATCACGGGCAAAGCTCAGGATCTGGGGGACACCACCACCCTGGAGGACCCCAGCATCATCTCAGAAATACTGAGTGCCTACCAGAAGCACCAAGACAAGAAGGCAGCTCGCCAGTGATGGGCTGTGACCAAGACCCAGCGCCCAAGCCCCTAACTTGTCCTAGGACATGGCTGTCAGTTGGCTTGTTTTTATTTGTCCCAGAGAAGTGCCCTCCCAGCACATAACCCACACCGCCCCTCATGGAAAGTCCGTGCTAAAACCCCTTCCCCTTTGTGTTGGAGAACCCATGCGACGATTCTATAAAATTGGTTAGAGTCTGTTCTCCTTGTCCTGAATTTGGTTTCCTTGAATGAGAAGTCCCTGTTGTGTCTGTTTCTGTGTCGCGCCAGACTGCACAGGAGGGTGAAAAACCCGGTAGATTGTGCCTGCTCAGGTGACTGAGAAGTAGAAGCAGGCAGGTTTTTTTCCAGATGTTTCTAGATATAAAAGGTGGATGTGTTATTTTTGCACTTTTATATTTTGGAAGCATAACATGCAAACAACATGGGGAATGTGTGGGTTTGCTTGTACATGCTCTTTGTAACATCTAGAGTTCTGAAGATCTTGTCTGCCTTTGCCCGGGGGCAAACATGGAGAGGGACGGGGTGCACTTGTAATGATGGTTGGCCATAGCTGGAAATCTGAATTGGAAGTGTTTGTACCTCAGTATAAACAGCTCTCGTGAGAATGCTTGAGCCTGCAGCATCCTTTCTTTGGTATAAAGTTCCACTTCTCTTGGTTTGTGTACAAATGAAACTCAACTTGTAAAGTGGTGGCATGGATGTGCTCCCCTTTTAGTTCTAAAGCTGCTCCAGTCACACGTCCTGTTTCTCCAAGCTGTGATCTGGGAAGATTTCCCTCTCCCCACCTTGGATACCTCTTGGTAGGAGGTCAACATGCTCCAAATTTGTGGGGTGGTTCAGGGAAGCCAGTTAAAACTCCGGTAACCGAGAGCATGAATTCGGCTAGAACTCTGCCGAATTCATTCTGTCGTTGGGGCATAAGAACCATAGAGGCCCAGGGATGAGGGCTGGAGCCCTGAATCAAGTTTCTCTCTCTCAATGTGCCTTACGTCCCCTCAGGTTAGCATGATGATGTAAATCATCAAGTCAGAAAGTGTCTGTTTATTAGCCAAGCATACCAGGGACGATGGTGTGGAGTACAGGGGACGGTAGCCTGCTGAGGACAGGGAAAGGTTATCCTTGTCGTTACCTCACAGTCCATAGTACCTTGCACCTGTGTAGGTGTTTAAGGAGTGTATGGGGTACTGGATACTTACTGTGGGCTGTAGCTGTGCTGGCCTCTGGGGTGGATTAGGCAAGTACACCTGTGACACCAATGGAGTGGCCATTGGCTATAGCACACAGATATGCCGAGTGACGGTCTGTTGTCACAGTGCTTAGCCACAGAGAACCATGCACCTGAACCTGTCACATGTGTGGTGCACTCAGAAGACTGTAGTTATGGTGCACTTTATGAAATGGCTCAGATGTAAGCTTGCACAGTGCCCAGGGCCTCAGAGTGATCTGCAGGGCAGCTCTAATAAAGCTTTATTTTGTTCATTCTCTTCTGTTTGTGGTGATGTTTTTGATCAAATAATGTTGCTGAATATAATCCCAAGAACAAAACTGGAAAGGGCCTATCACTCAAAAGAGAACACACACACACACACACACACACACAGACACACACAAAATCTATTGTCTGTTAGGGAGGAACTACACAATAAGAGGTCACCCATCTTAGACTTAAGTTCACCTGTCTTTAGATGATTGTGCTGTCCAATACACTAGTCACATGTGGCTAGTTAAATGTAAATAAAAACAACAGAATAGAATAGAAAACAGAATTGAATAGATATTCAGTTCCTCCATGGCAGTAGCCACAGTTCAAGTGCTTAGTAGTCACACGTGGTCAGTAGCTACCAGATCGGACATGTGGATGAGAACATTGCAGTCATCACACAGTGCCTGGTAGTCAGTGCTGACTTAAAACACAGAGGAGAATTAGGACACAAAAGGGCCTCTAGGCAGCTGAATCAACATCACAGACTGCATCCTGGAGAAGCCCAGGCTTGCCTGGGAGACATCCCATGTAGCCCAGGTTGTCTTTACACTCGATGTGGGTGGATGAGGTTTCCTATGTCCTTCACTAGACAGAGAAACAGAAGGACACATTGAACTGGTGCCGTGAGAGGTGATGTGAAAGGCTGGTTTGGCTCCCACAAAACCCAAACCCACTGTTGCCTCTAAAGCAGGAGCTGGGAGTGGCTGTTCCCAGGATGGTGATAGTTCTTGTGCCTCAGGAATGGGGGAAGGGAGGCTGGGGGGATTCTCAGGTGCCCACTGAGGTATTTTGGATGCACAAAAAGGCAACTCACTGGCAAAGACACATTTGTGCACCTCTGGGTGCTGTGGGAAGTCACGGCAGGACAGCTTTTTTTCCAGGAATAGTCTGTATCTGCCCCCTGCCTGGTGGGGCATTGTAAAAGGCTTACAGGTAGACTGTTAACAGGCTAGGTTGTCCTTACTGCCCCTCTCTGGTAAAGCCATCCTGATTGATTTTTGGCCTCATCCTGTCCCCTACATTTTCAGGGATCCATCCTGGCTGCTAGGGGGGTTGTAATGGTTATTCCCAGAATCTCAGTCCCTGGCCTAAGTGGCAAGTTCATGCTTGACCATTCAATGCTATCAGGGCCCCTAGGAAGCAGACACAAAGACGTGAGCAATATGCACAAGACAAGACACAGAGATGAGCTACAGTAGCCTTTTAGTCATCACGGGGCAGGGCCTGCCTGGGAACAGGGAAGTGCAGAAGACATGGAGCCCAGGAGAGATGCATGGAGGCCTGGCCAAGCTGCACCAGGCCCACCCTACCCCCAGACTTCACTCCCTGCTTGGGCTTTTCTATCTTAACTGGAACATCCTGGCAAAAACCTAAGTCAGTGCTGCTGAGAGGCAGAGAGAAGAGCAGACAGCTGCAGCCAAAGCAGAGGTGAGACATCTGGTGGTGTGGGTGTGGAAGCACACAGACCAAGTTTAGAGACAGCTAATCTGAACATTAAGTAGATCTCAGGCATGAGATTACATTCATAATAACCATTACGTTCCCAAGGGAAATTATATTCATACTCAGAAAAGCAGTAGGCAGTACCTGTTAAGAATAACTCTCTTGCCTGGCTGGCATGGGTCAGTGGTTGAGTGTTGACCTATGAACCAGGAGGTCATGGTTTGATTCCTGGTCAGGGCACATGCCTGGGTTGTGGGCTCCATCCCCGGTGGGGGGCATGCAGGAGGCAGCCAATCAATGATTCTCTCTCATCACTGCAGTGACTCTCTCTCATCATTGAGCTTTCTCTTTCTCTCCCCCTTCCTCTTTGAAATCAATACAAATGTATTTTTTTAAAAAGAATAATTCTCTTTTACCTTAAAGCGCCTGAAAACACACAAATGTCATGTCAAAGGGAAAATTCGACTTTCAACATGATTAATTCCCAAGGGGAAATATGTTCCTAATAATTAGAAAAAAGAAACCATGGCTAAGGTTCATGGTTTGCACAACATTTATCTAAAAGTAAATCATAAGGTGATTCAGGCACACACTGTCCCTGGTTCACACACAGCAGCTGAATTTGTGGGGAAGAAAATAGAATCCTCATTCCATTTCCTCAGCTTGACTGAGGAGTGGAGATTTGGCTGTGGCATTGTTATCATAGGTAGCTAGAGATTAATGAAGAGAGCAAAGGGATTCAGACATTATTAAGCATAATAAACGAGGGAGCTGAATCAAATACTGATCCTGCTTTGCTAGGAAGCTGTAGCATTCATAGGCACCTCACTTAGGGATCACAGTATTGCTGGAACAGGGGGATTAATACCCTTCCCTCCCCTTGTAGGGAGAAAAGACTGGCTTTCCAGTCTCTCCAGGGTACAACTGGTCCGTTTCTCCAAACTGCAAGAGGAAGAATTAGCAATAAAGGGGACATTTCTTTATTGGGGGCATGCTCAGGAGAAGCCTAGATGGTGCCGGGGTAGGTGGTTCTCCTATAATGCATTCACAATAGGAACTAAGATGGCAACCATAAAGAGGAGGAGCCTAGCCTGGGAAAAGGACCCGATTGGATAGGGACACAGAACCCTGGAAGATAGAGGAAATGGATTGGTCAGGGGAAGGACTCAATGCAAGCCTGTAAAGGATTGAGAAATTGGTTAGTTTGAAAGAGCACGGAGTCCTTCCCAAGCCTGAGATAATATACTGTAACCCAAGCTTCACAAAGCTCTCTCTTGCCAGGTAACATGCGTTTGCTGGGTTTGTTCATGCACTCTCTCTCCATAGCAACCATGGGGGCCTAGCAGCCACCTGGGGTCCCGCAGCCACACAGTCTGCAAGTGTGGGCTCCAAGCCTGAACCTGGGCACTGAACCAGCCAAAGCACAGCTGGAAACAGACCACGCTAGCCAGATGGGGACAGAGCCTAACCTGGACTAAGTCTTCACATGGCACAGAATTTCTAGACATTGGCCCTATGTCTGGGTCTGAGGAAGGAAAGGCTGGACTTTCCCACAATGGGACAGAGCTGAACCAAGGGCAGTCCTTTGTGTTTGCTCCAGCTTCAATATACCTTACCACAACACCCCACTTTCCCATGTGTGGGCCCCTGGAAATGCTTTTTTTATAGCCCCATGAAAGGACCCCATTTCCACTGGCAACAGAATCACCATAAGCTGTGCTAGTCCTTGCAGAGCTGACTTTGACCACTACCCTCAAGACACCCAATATTGGGAATGAGGACAGAAGTGCTTGCATTACTGAGTACGATATGCAAGGAGGCTCTGAGCAGGCTCTCAATTCCATCATTCATTTCATCCTTACACCTTCCGAGGCAGTGTGGATGAAAAGGGGTAACATACTAAACCTGCATGGTGGGCCTTACGAACTCAGAGACCTAGCCCCGACTGGGTAGCTCGGTTGGTTAGAGCATCGTCCTGATACAGCAAAGTTGTGGGTTCTATCCCAGATTGGGGCACATAAAGAATCAACTAATGAATGCATAAATGAGTGAAACAAATCACGTTTCTCTTGCTCTCATTATCTACCCCTTCCTCTCTCTCTAAAATCAATAATTTTAAAAAAAAATTAAAAACAACAACTCAGAGACCTAAAGTAACCACATAGGATGGTCTGAAATTAGAACTTTCTAACTGAAAGTGAGTCATGGCTGGTAGTCATGTCCTAGACTGGTATCTTTCCTGACAAAAGTCAGTCTTTACTTTAACTGAGCCTGTCTATTGTTGTTTTGCATCTAGAATAACATACCTTTGGAATGTCAGGATAATTTCCTCTTTCCAGACCCCTTGGGGGCACAATTGTCCACTAGAGCAGGAGAACTCAGAGCCCCTCATTGCTATTGTTATCCTGCCACATGTTACCTGTTACCTATCCTATACCCACCTATGTAAAAGAAGTATGTGTCTATTTCTTTTACTTTTTATCCAACCCTAGAGATTTCCCCACTTTGCTTTCTTCCATCTCCCTAAAGTATTGCCAGTGGATTTCATGTAACCTCTTATGCCCCCTCCTTTGATTGTAATAAAATACGGTGCACAACAGCCATTCTCTGGAGTATTTTCTCAATCTGTTCAGATTTTGCTTCCTGGAAGTTGTCCTCAGTTTGGCTCAAATAAACTCATAAAAATTCTCTACAGGTTTAAACGTTTCTTACATTGACATTTACTTGGCATAGTGCAGCAGGATTCCTTCTCTGCAATCCTGTTGGACCACCTTGAAGACCTCGACTTATGCTAGTTATCAGCAGCCAAGGGGCCCCACTGGCTTCTTGTTTTGCATCAGGTGAACTTGGATGAGTTTTTCCTCAAATTTCCAGACTTCCCTGTTTTAAAGTAAGATGCCTGACTTCATTTGAGCTGTTTAAAAAGATTTCTTCAGGTGGAGCTCAAGGGTAAGGGTTGAGAGAACCTAAGCTAAAGTTAAGAGGTGAAAATTCAGGTTGGAGTTGAGATGGGTGGCTCATTTTAATTTTGGCTTTTCAATTGGAATTCACGACTGAGAGTTTGAGCAAAACCTTTTACTGGATAAATGAGAGTCTGAACTCTTTCAGCTCTGAAATTAATGGGCACTTACTCTTCGCTTGAAATTTGGGTAGTGTTAAATGACTAAGAATCTCTGTGGAGGTGTCAGAGGACATCCCTCATAATGTGCAGGAGCCCCATAGAAATTCCAACTCAACAGTAATTAAATAATTGAGTCACCTGGAAACACGCACAAAAGTGTTGGTTAACTAGTGCTCCAAATCCTCCAGCCGTATTAGACAGCCGGAAGAGAAACTGAGACATATAAGAGGGGTTGGTGCAACTTGGCAGGTTACAGCCTCTTGGATCTCAACTCATAAGCAGAACACTTCAATCTACCACACAATATCCCTAGAAATTGGTTCAGATTCTGCAAACTAAAATTAACATGGGAAATTGTGCCTCCAAGGCTAAAAAATTCCAGCTCTAGCCTCTTAATACTTCCACAGATATACAATAAATAGGAAGCCTTTACTT